GTCTGGAGTTTGTCAACGCTGTCGTTTTGAACATGAGGTCTTGAAGGTCATCAGCGAGAGGTGTGTGTAGTTTGGTGACAGCCACGTGTATATTGTTTTGGGAACGGATTTCGTATGTCATTATACACTTTTTCCGATCAATATCGGCTCCAGAATTAAATTATTTATTTATTCCTAATTGGTCCTAAGAAGTCACGTGGTATGTCTTCTACTACGTCCGTACGATATTTGGTCGCTATCTACCTAAAAATGATGATGACTAATACAACAAACATTCTGATTTGTAATCTATGATTTTATTGGTGTGTTTTAAGATGTACGTGTTTTCTTGAGTGTGATTGGTTTATAAATATTGTATTTGATATTTTAGTGGACGCGACAGTTCTATTCCAGAGTTTAGGAATTCAGTGTTTTCTTTCTCTTAGAGTGGTTGCCAGAAAAGACCAGAGAGTTCTACTGTTATACCTTAGCTGGGAAGATAGATAAGTATTAAATTTGTATATATTTTTTGGTACCCTGTCTTTTGTACATATATGTAAAGCTTGCATTAAGAATTGTATATATATATATATATATATATATACAACCACATGTTTATCCAGACGTCTTACATTAAACCAATCTGATCACAGCTCCATCAGAACACATTTAAACACACACTCAGGTTTACCCAGCACCATTAGGAACATACTAGTAGAAAACACAAATATATTAACTGCATCCACTTGCAAAAAAAGACTAAAAATAATGGAAGCTCTAATAATAAAAAAGAAAAAGCCAACTCTTAACAATATTAACTATGAACAAAGCCACAATGTGCTAACCATATTCGGAAATTAAAAACATCCCTACCACACACTGATACATACACAGAACGCACACAATCAACTAAGCTGATAATCGAATCATCCTTGATAATGGCTAAAGGTATAGCCGAAAGCGCTCGGAAATATAAAACATTCGGACAGTTCATACACACCCTTTGTCCAGAAAAGAAAGCTCTTCTCAGAACACAAGAAAAATTAAATAAAAAGCTCAACCGTAGTACCTTGTCTGTCGTTTTTAATGAAACATGCATATATATATATATATATATATATATATATATATATATATATACGCAGTCTTTTGCGTTTTGCGTTTTGCTTGATCTTTTCATATAGTTATGTTGTATCTTTCATACACCTTAAAATGAGTTTATGTTATATATTCTTGCGCAATATCTTGGGAGTATATCACTGTAATCTTAGCTTTCTGCAACCATTGCATTTTTCTTTCCACGTGCTTTTGTGACAGAACACAACGTGGATGCTTCCTCAACGACCATGCATTCGCACACAACGTCCTGAGCATCCGTCAGTCCCGCACCAAGAAAAATCTCGGCGTACTGAAACAACCTCCCTATCCCTGTGATCTTGTTCCGTGTGTCCTTTTCTCCAAGCTCAAGTGGGATCATCAAAGGAACCAGTTTTGAAAGCGTGGAGGCCATCAAGATGGGCGTAACCACTGAGCTGAACGGCATCCAAGAAGAATCGTTCTAGCAGTGCCAGACGAGGATGTAAAAGTGCATTAAAATCGTTGGGGATTAATTTGAAGGGGAATCCATCAAGTTTGTTACTGAAATTGTGACACCAGTCCTCATACTTTTCAGACATACTTTCATATATATATATATATATATATATATATATATATATATATATATATATATATATATATGTGTGTGTGTGTGTGTGTGTGTGAAAGTATATAGAAAATAGGAAAGAACTCGTTAGGTAAATAATCCAAAGTTCTTTATTATTTTAGTTATTATTTTTAAAAAGTAGTGCTCGATACAAAAGTAGGGCATAAATATAATTATTTATTTAAAAATATTATTCCAAAACGCTACATAAGAGGTCTCATGTTTCAAAAACAAGAACCGAAAACTTCAATATATTATTCCCAAAAAAATTTCGCTTGAAGATGGAACAGAGCTTACTTTAATTCAAATAATTATATTGAAGTTTTCGGCTATTGTTTTTGAAACATTTGAAACATGAGACCTCTTATGTAGCGTGTTGAATCATATTTTTAAATAAATAAAATAAATAAATAAATATATATATATATATATATATATATATATATATATATAGAGAGAGAGAGAGAGAGAGAGAGAGAGAGAGACATTTTCATGTTTATACATTCTTTTTTTATATGTAAATGCTGTTTTATAATAAACAGTATTATTAACATTTACCGGCCTGAATGTCCGAAAAATTTTCATAGAAAATATTCGTCCTCCGGCAGGAATCGAACCTGTATCCTATACGGAACCGTCATTTAGCCTAACGTGCCTAAAAACGATCGAGCCACTTAGGATCGTTCGATTAGCAAGGTCGATTTTAATGCTTTTAAACATCAATCTTCTATGAATCTCTCACATTCATTCATATCTGCTCATTGCGTATCAAATGTAAACAAATGACGTCACACATTATGAATGGACAAAAAAACAATTATTTTATATTTTATGTTTATACATTCTTTTATAGATACAAATATTTAAGTAAATGCTGTGTTTTATAATTCAGGCCGGTAAATTTTATTAATACTGTTTATTATAAACAGAGCATTTACTTAAATATTTGTATCTATAAAAAGAATGTATAAAACATAAAAATCTTAAAATAATTGTTGGACTTTTGTCCATTTTATAATATATATATATATATATATATATATATATATATATATATATATATATCATCTATTATATATATATCTATCTCAGTCTATTCATATTTATCTATCTAGCAGTTACTCTCTATTACATACTAGAAGTTCTGAAAAGTTCTCAGCCTGACTAAAAACACACTGAGAATGGATACTGTGGCTTAAACGAGAACGTGTTCCCGCGATAAATAGTTCTATTTCAGAGTTTAGCACATTCAGAGATTTTCTTCTCCTAGAGTGGATGCCAGACACGACCAGAGAGTCCTATATAACAGACCTTCATTATATATATATATATATATATATATATATATATATATATATATATATATATATATATATATATACTTCTCATCTCTTTGGTCAACTCAGCAATGCTTCTGGTTGACATGCCTCCGAAAATCAAAGTCAATACGTGTGTGAAAGGACTAGACTTGATGACGCGTCCTGGGGTTACCGAGCGATGACTACCCAAGTGACGTTTCTCCAAGCGTTGCGTAGTTTGCAGGGAGGTTCTCATGAAATGATTTTCGTCTTTTGAAAGAAGGTGATACCAAAATTCACGTTCTGAAGAAAAAAGTCTTTCTTTTTGTTTACTCGAATTCAATTGGAGGCAAACTCATTACATTTGGCATCAACATTCGCCAAAAGAACACTAACGACGAAAACTTTAGCAGCACACTTACACGAAAAGAATAGCGTGGACATACCAAGTAAGACAAACAGTTCTACGTACGCAAGATTACCACGTTTACTATTACAGACGTGGAATAAAATTTCGTTGTTAAACCTTAATGACGCAGTGGATAGGCGTTAGTTAGATCCAATGACAGGACCCAAAGAGTGTGAGTTCAATACCTGGTTAAGGCGGTGGTGAGCTTGGAGAGGGAAATCAACAGGAGATAACTGATAACTGACATCGATTAAACATGGCACGTGGAACTAGAACAGTCTACTCCAGTGAGCGAAATAAAGGGTTCAGTCCGACATTCCAACCACCTGAAGAAGGCCGGAGCGTACAACGACCGAAACGTTGTGATAAATATAGCAATAAAGATGAGAAAAACAGTCCGAGCAATGTAAATCGTGTACATAATACCTCATCTCAGAAATATAGACAGATACTGAAGGATGATAAATATGGCGACAAAGATGAGGACAATAGACCGAATAATGTAAATAGTGTAGATAATACCTCATCTCAGAAATATAGACAGATACTTAAACCTTCTTATTCTGATTCAGCGAATAACCAAACTGACCTTGTTCCTTTCGCCTTTTCTTTCTTTACGACATTGTTTTGCCCTATTTGTCAGTTGCCGTCCGCTTAATTATAGGTATATCCGCCTAGTGACTCTTGCATCAACAAAGCTAATCTGCGACATCGCAGCAGTCGCTTTCTCTCTCTACTCTTAAAGTAACAGCCAGTGCTGTTATGCTTCGTCATAAGGTTATTGGCTATCAACCAGCCTTGTCTGACAACGTTAAAAATTTTCAACAATTTTTTT